AGAGAGAGAGAGAGAGAGAGAGAGAGAGAGAGAGAGAGAGAGAGAGAGAGAGAGGCAGGCGGACCGACAAAGGACGCTTCTGATACTGTTGCCACTTTGTGGCCTGGTTTTCTCAGTGTCCTGGCGCTTATAATTTTTGGCCTCGCTGTAGGATATGAAACTCGAGGTATTTGACCTTTGATTGAAGGGAACTTTGTCTTATGACATGTTTTTTTTTTTTTTTGCCTTGTTTCTTGAGGATCATTTCATTTCGATATCGAAGACCCTTCCCTTTATAAACTTTAGGAGGCTTACAACGTTTGATTCTGGCAGCAGATTGTGTGGCCTTTTGTCGGTCGATTCCAGTACAACAAATTAGGGTAGGTTTTAAGCAAAACGCACGAACCGAGGGCGGAGCTTGAAGTTTCATATCATGACTAAATCCTAATTTCAAAATAAGTATGGAGCTCTGTGGATTAGTACTAGTTTTATATCCAACACCTAAAATTTAAAAAAAAATAGAAATATTTGGTTTCCATAAGCTTCACCATACATAATAAGAAAGATGGTGTTTGCCGGCGGGTAAGCACGTAGATGGCGAGCCTAGGCCGAACAGAGATGGGCTGCACAGAGGTCGCTTTCTTTATCATGTCAACCAGCGTCCAAGCATACCGCTACCGATAGATAAGGAGGCCTTTCTTATCTTAAGAGAACGACGATCAACTCTTCTTTAAGCACAGCGTAAGCAAATTCCATTGTGTCAGGCACGCCACAAAGGTTACTCAGGTTGGAGAGTCGTGTGATGGGTGACCATCTCGCACGTTTTGGAGAGCACTGTTATGGCAAGACGCTTGCAGAGCGCGCACTTCACTGGTTAAAGTGAGATAAACAATCGCAAGAAAAACAAAAATTCCTACAATAGAAAGATAAGAGTCAAAACTACTCAGTGCATTCCATCTGGCATAAGCATCTGGATAATCAGGAATGCGGCGTGGCATGCCCGCAAGACCTAAAAAATGCATAGGAAAGAAAGTCAAGTTCACACCAAAGAAAGTAATCAAAAAATGAATTTGGCCTAAGGTTTTTGGATATTGAAGTCCAGAGATTTTGCCTCTCTTTGGTATAATGGATGAGACTAATTGGGTGGTTCCGGAGATTCTGACTTTTCTTACTTCTAAAATAGGTTTGACATTTTCAATCGCGTTAACAAAATGCGTGATTACATTCATAGACAAGTTCTCACTAGCTAGACAATAGAAAGTTTTATAAACAATAGCATGAGTTTTTTTTTTTATTCCCATGAATCATACAAAATTACAAATGTTGATAATTTATGTATCAATTGTGTGGTCAGTACTCATAACGTTCGGGTAGCGAAGCTTACACTTGTTCAATAGTTCGGCGTGGCTTTCTTCCCTGTACCTTTCCGCTCGAATTCAGAGAGTTGCCAGCTCTCTTTTAAAGGTTCAGGAGTATCGTGCCACTAGACTTTGTATTCTATCGGCTAGTGCTCTAGATCCGATGACTCCAATCAGGAAGTCGTCCGCATAGCGAACATAGTGAATCCTTCTAAAATGACTCTGGCGAGCCGACGAACGCGAAGGCCGAAGGCGCGTCTTGAAGGCTGCTCTCCGATCGCCGCTGGATCTTCGCGGTGAGTCTTTTTGTCCGCAACCTGTGGCGGTTGCCCTCTCTATCGACGACTCTCTATCGGCAATGCTCTTCAGTCGCATGACAAATTTCTCAAGCTCATGAAGTACGACATTGGATGGAAGAGGCCATTTGGAAAAGAAAAGCAAAAAAACACAAAAAATGATTTGGGAGCGAAGCTGTATGAAAAACACTTGCTGGAAAGGAGAACAATCTGTCCAGAGTGCAGAATTAATAGCATAGGCGAAGATTGTTTTCCTTCCCGGCAACTGTTTTTCATACAACCGTGCTCCCGAATTATTTTTGTGTTTTTAACCTTTTTTTGCTTTTCTTTACCAAACGGGTTTCGTAAGACAATTTCTGCCACCTGGCGGGCGGGCAGCACTGCCATGAAGTGGCCTCAATATTATATTGATATTTCACACTTTGGCGCTGTTGCAAGCGCTGGCGGTAGATCAGACGTGGGGAAGATGTGGTCATTGTGGTGGTATCGATCTTGTAGTGGATTGGCCTTGCCGATCATGTTCGGGCAATTATCCCAGCAGCGTCTCACATTCATGAGTATTGCATTCAGCTGCATGTCCTGACACAATTGAGAATGGGGTCGGGAAAAGAGAGAGGGGTTGGAGGAGGGGGTGGAGGAGGGGGGGGGGGGGCACACTTGAAGACCTTGCAACTGATTATTATTTGTGTCTCTGATTTGCAGGTGGGACGATTCCGAGGATCTTGCAAGGACCGCAAAGGAGTTCATTGATGCACAATTGGATGCTGCTATGCGCTGCTCTGTAGAACGGTAACTCAGAAGACAATGGAGTTGGGTGGGTCTTTTTCTGGGAGACTATACAGGTGGGCAATAAGGTTCCACTAGTTCAGTGGAAAAGGACCACTGAAAGAGAATCACTGAAGCATTTTGTTTCAATCTGATTGGTAGATAACGGAGGGGAGCATAGGCATCCGTTGAATGTTGTAGAAACGTTCATCCACAAGTGGGGACCAGCTTCTGTCCAATGATGAGAAAGGGAAAAGGAGGGGGGCTTAGTAGCAGTTGAGGCGGAGTAAGGGAAGATCATTCGAAGATGAGATGCTCAATTGCAGGAAGCAATGACTGTTTTTGGCTCAAGGAATGCATGTCAGGAGAAGAAAGTGAACAA